AAGAAAAAAAATCATATGCTGAGGTTGCTAAGATCTACAGTATGATAAGATTTTGAGAGACCACATTCACATAATTTTTATTACAGTATATTGTTATAACAATTCTATTTTATTAGATATTGTTGTTAATCTCTTACAGTGCCTAACTTATAAAGTAAACTGTATCTTCAGTATGAATGTGTAGGAAAAAGCACAGTATATATAGGTCTAGGTACTATCCACAGTTTTGGGCATCCACTCAGGATCTTCGAATTATTCCCTGTGAAATAAGGAGGAACTGCTGGGCATTTTTCCAGGATGTGCAGAGAATCAAACTTGGAGGGTATGCAAACAGAGACATTCCCCAAATCATGCTCAAGGATTGCTCTAGGAACACACCACTGCTGTCATGGCTGGCCACCAAAATAGCAGCTCAAACTATTGATGGTGGGCACTGCATATCTTTGCCAGAGCCGCCGCTATTGCTTCCTCAACAAACCACATGTCTCTGCCCAGCCTTGTTCCTGCCGTAACAAATTCCACTCAGCACCTCCTTTACATCAAAAGCAAAGTCCTTCACTCCAATGGTGTGCAATGGTTAAAAAAAAAAGTCTTGTGAGGGTGCACCTGAGTGGCAGGGCTGTCAGAGGCCCATGCCCTAGATGCAGGTGAGCTCGGAAAAGCACGTTTCTGGCCTCTCCCTCAGGAAGCTTCAGACTCAAGGTGGAGAATTTCCCAAACTGAGGTAGAGAAAAGATACATAAAATGGGCCGGGCATGGTGGCTCATGCCTGTAATCCCAGCACTTTGGGAGACCAAGGCAAGTGGATCACCTGAGGTCAAGAGTACCAGCCCAGCCTGGCCAACATGGTGAAACCCCGTCTTTACTAAAAATACAAAACTTAGCTCAGCATGATGGCAGGCACCTGTAATCCCAGCTACTTGGGAGACTGAGGCAGGAAAATCGCTTGAACCCAGGAGGCGGAGGTTGCGGTGAGATGAGATCATGCCACTGCACTCCAGCCTGGGCAACAGAGCAAGACTCTGTCTCAAAAAATAAAAATAAAAAATAAAATAAATAAATAAATAAAAAGATATGTATAATGGTAGATGAGGAAGACAGCAGGTAGCAGAAAAAAAACCAGAGAAGAGTGAACAGTTGCACATTAACAGTGGAGCACTAGAAATGGGATCACAGACTCTCACTGCTCAGGTGTCTTGCTAGAGCCACCTTTGACCCAGAAACACCGATGGCCTGCCTGCTCCCATCTCCACAAATCCCAGGATCTTGAATCCCCCTGGGTTTCTGTGTCACTTCATGCCCTAAGCGTACTCTTACGTAACTCCTCTGCCAGTGATTTGAGCCAGCCTGTGGCCATTTGTGTTTTCCAAAAATGACCACACCAATATATCCCATTGCATATGCTGTTCTTCAACATGACATGCACACACCTCCATCTAGAGACGGGGTTTGTATTTGCTTTCTATTTCTGCTTAACAAATTACTGCGAACTCAGCAGCTTAAAACAGCACCCATGTATTAGCTGACAGTTCCACAGGTGTAATCGGATTCTCCCTGCAGGATATCACAAGGGTGAAATCAAGATGTCAGCCAGGCTGAGTTCTCATCTGAATTCTCATCTGGGGGAAATCTGCTTCCAAACTCTTCTTTGATCTTGGAAAACTTCAGTTCTTTGCAGTTGGAGGACTGCGATCTCCTTTTTCTTGCTGTCTCTCAGCTCCTAGAGCCCACACACATTCCTTGTTCCACGACCCCGTTTCATCTTCAGCCAACAAGGGCACATTGAAATCCTCCCAGACTTCAAATCTCTGACTTCTGTGACCAGTCAGACAAAACTCTTGGATTTTAAACGGTTCATGTGATGAAATCAGGTCTGCCAGATAATCTCCCTCTCTTGAGGTCAACGCATTTGAGAACTTAGTTACCAAAATCCCTTCACAGTAGCACCTAGGTTAGTGTTTGATTGAATAACCGGGAGAAGATACGTGTACAGCAGAGCCAGAAATTGCGAAAGCATCTCAGAATTCTGCCTGCTACAGATCTATGTCCTTTCCCTTGAATCTAGGCAGGCCTGTGACTACAGAAGAAGTGACACTGTGTGACTTCCCCATCCAGGTGATAAAAGTCAAACCGCCTCTTTCTGGCGGTTTCTCCCTTGGGACGTGTGTCTTGGGAGCCCTGAGCCAGCTGGTAAGAAGTCGGGCTACCCTGAAGCTACCGCACTGGAGGGATCACATCGAACTCTCCACAGAGATACAGAGAGATGTCCAAGGAGCCCCAGCGAGGCCAGATATGAGTGACTAAGACTTCAAATGACTCCAGCCCCCAGCCTGTAAGCCGCAAGGAAACCAAGAGGAGCAGAGACAAGCAGTCCCCAACCAAGCCCTGTCAAAACTGCAGATTCATGAGCAAAACGAATTTTGTCATTTTAAGCCTCTATACTTTGGGGTAGCTTAATAGGCAGCTATAGCATCGGGTACATAGGCTGAGGGAGCCTATTTGTCCCTAGTGATAAAAAGGATTTTTGACTATCAGAATCTTTAGAGAATATTATTGGCTGCTATCTTGCGGAATGTCCCTTACTTTGCCTTGAAGGACTTTATTTGTGCCTATATTTTTTACTCGAAATCTTCCAAGCAAAGACCACATCATTTTTGTCTTGTTTTCCTCCATAGTTAACACATGACATGCCAATACACTATGGTAGATCGTTTGCAAAAAATTGCTTCAGTTATTGCCCTCCCTATATCCATGCCCATTGCCATGTGACTTTGCAGTTCCTCCCCTCAAGAGAAGTCTATTTCCCCTGCCCTTGAATCTGGGCTAGGTTGTGACTTGGTTGGCCAATACAGTACAACCAAAGTGACTTCTCTGAGCCTAAACCTCAAGAGGCCTTGCATGTTTCTGCTCATTATCTTGGAACACTTGCTCAAGCTAGTTGGCTGGAGGATGGGAGTCACATACCCCATTCATCCTCATCACCCCAACTAGCACCCAGCCAACTACCAGAGGAAGAGTCATCTGGCTGACTTGCAGTGAACCACAGATGCATAAAGGGAAACAAAGCTTCCCAGTCTAAACTGCAAAACTGTAAGCTAAATGAATGGTTGTTGTTTTCAGTCACTAAACTTGGGTTCCTTTGTTACAAGCAAAAGTTAACTAATAGAAAAGTGAACCCACACTCTTTATAACAGATTGATTATCCCTTTACTCTCTCACCAAGGACAGAATGCAGTGATGCGATCATAGGTCACTGAAGCCTCCAACTCCTGGGCCCGAGCAATCCTACCACCTCAGTCTCCTGAGTAGCTGGGACCACAGGTGCCCACAACCATGCCTGTCTAATTTTTTTTTTTAGTTTTTTGTAAAGACAGGTCTCACCATGTTGCTCAGGCTAGTCTTGAACTCCTGGCCCCAAGTGATCCTCCTGTCTCAGCCTCCCAAAGTGCTAGGATTACAAACATGAGCTACTATGTCCTGCCCACCCTATCCCTTCTTAATCCCAAAGAACAAATGGATCAAAGTCTGAGTTTGACTTGCAGTAGGAAAGCTTTATTATAGTCAAGATCATGCAGGGTGTGAGATCACCCCAGGCCAGAGAGAGGAAAGAGGTCTGTCTCCCCAACCCTGAAGTCATCAAAGCCAAGCAGGGTTGGAAGCCAGTGGAAAGCCAGAGGCATATATGCCAAGTCAGTCCAGTCCCAAACGGGCACAGGGGCTGGTTGCCAGCTATTCCTGATGTCAGGATCCAATAAGCAGGCTTCATCAGGGGTCTGCCCATCTGGGGATGCTCAGCTGGGGCTGGGCAGGAGAAGTTTACAGAGGCTCTAGTATCGCGAAAGGAAGCCTGTGGAGAGACAGAAGGGAGATGAGGGGGAGAAGGGAGGACTGTGAGCAGGAGCAGAGAGGTTGGGACTTGGGGAAAGATGGGGAAACTCAAAGTAAGGACACTAGAGCTCAAAGAGCTGGAGAATCCTGAGGTGGAAGGACTCTGGGTTCTCCCAATCTACAGGTCCCCATCTAATTCCTGAATCTCTGTTGCAGCAAACCTGGCAGATGCACCCCCAAGTCTGAGGGTGGGGAGCTTATGAGGCAGCTCCCTCCATTCAACAGATATGTTAGTCAATTATTTGGATATTGAGGCAAAAACAGCCCCAGCCTCACTCCTAGATGTACATCCATGGCCCTGCAGTGCCGCTGGACACACAAAACCACATCAGACACCCCGCAGGGCAGCTCCCAGGCACCTCCAGTCTTCTCTGAGCTAAACATCCCCAGTCATATTACCCAGCCTTTTACTATAATTTCATATTACATTTTTATTTTATAAAACTCAATGTGTACATGGGAAAATTTTCCCTGATCTAGAGACCAACTCACCTGTGTGAGTCTTTCTTACATTTAGATTATGTTCATCCTTTTGGCAGTTGCATCATGTAATAGCTGTGCAAACCAACCACGGACTGAAATCCCTGAGTCTCTTTTCCAGCTGAACTGTTGCTGATCCAGGTCCCCCATCCTCATGAGGGTTGAAAGTACCGGCTGTGAAGCCCCACAGAGCTGAACCCCTCATTTGTGATTGTATGACTTTGAGCAAAGTAGTTATTTTCTCTGAACCTCATTTTCCTTAAAATGGGGATTATAATGAAACCTACCTCAAAGGGTGTATCATGATAATGCACAATTTTCAACCCATCTCCTACACTACTGAGACTCAACCATGTGTAGATTTAGTCCTAGCCTCATCCTAGGCTCTGTCAAAAATAATGATCAATTGAGAACCAAGGGCATGTCTCTGGCACCTCATAGAGGTTTCCCTAACATCTAGCTCTATTCAGAATCTGTATTTCCCAGAGATTCCAAAATACTCAAAAAAAAAAAAAGGGTGATACCTTGACTCTCCTCCCCACAACCTAGAGTTGTGCCTCCCTCCACCCCACAACCTAGGATTGTCCCTTACCTTTTGTCTCATCTTGGTCACCAGATTTTGAGGAAGAAGACTAGGAATGGGATGATTTTCCGCTTCCTCCTCCATAGCCGCCACCACTTCCACTCCCTTCTTCACCACCTCCGTAGCTGCCTCCACTTTCACCTCCAAAACCACTTCCTCCACCATGGCTGCCTCCACTTCCTCCCCTGGACCCACTTCCTCCACCATAGCCACCCCCACTTCCTCCTCCAGAGCCACTTCCTCCTCCATAGTTGCCCCCACTTCCTCCACTATGGCCACCTCCACTTCCTCCGCTATGGCCACCTCCACTTCCTCCACCATAGCCACCTCCAGAACCACTTCCTCCACCATAGCTGCCTCCACTTCCTCCCCTGGAACCTCTTCCATAATTTCCTCCACTTCCTCCTCGACCTCCTTGGCCACTTCCAAGACCAATTTTTCCAGCTCCGGAGGATTCACTAGGAAAGAAAGAAAACAAGAGAGTTAAAATGAGTGGCCCAAACACACATATATGAGGATGGACCTGAACAGAGTCAGGACCCAAACATGAATCTTTCTGTTTTCCTTCCTGGGAGGCAGAGGACAGAGTCTGGGCTGGCACCATAGCTGGGAGGGTAGAGCCTCCAGCTGGGACTGTGGAGCTTTCCCCTCCCTGGAGCAGGGAGGCAGCCCCTTCTCTCAGTGTCACCATCCTCCTTCCCCAAAGCCCAAATGCACTGAGATCCCCACCGCCCCCAGGATGAAGAAGTCCTCAACCCATAAGACCCTGTGTATAAGAACTTCCCCCAGCTGCCTCTATCCAGAGGGACAGAAGGAGTATCAGAGGCCTAAGGGACCCCCAGGGGTTCCACTGAATCGTGGGGCACCTACAAGTCTTCCTGGCCTCCCTCCAGGAGGTTGCGGTAGGTCTGGATTTCTTGCTCCAGCCGCATCTTAATGCTGAGCAGAAGGCTGTATTCCTGATTCTGGCACTCGATCTCTTGCCGGACTTCAGTGATCTGGGCCTCCAAGTTACTGATCTGCTCCTGGATCATCTGCAGCTGGCCACAGTAGCGGTTCTTCGTGTCTTCCAAGCTCTTCTCCAGGGCTGCTTTCTAAGGGTCAAGAGAAGGCTTTAAGAGGGATGCTACATCATAACTCCTCTTCTTCCCACTCCTGGGCTGCAAAGCCTTCCTGTGCCCCACCTTGGCAAAGGGTCTACAGCAGAACTACCAACCTTGCTGAGCTGAGACTGCAGCTCAATCTCCAACTCCTGGACACCATGCCGGAGCTGGGTCACCTCCTTGGCACTGGACTGCACCTCCTGACCACTACTAGATACCTCATTCTCGATCTGGGTTATCTGCAAAACCAAAGGCTCAGTAAGCATCAGGCTGGGCCAGGAGCTTCAGTGGGCAAGATTCTGCCCCATTCACCAGGATCTTCACCTGCAGGGCCAAGGCTGATCCAAAGCCAAGGACAAGTCTTTCTGAGTTCTGGGTACCCTCCAGCCATGAAGGTTTGTCCAGTCCTCTCAATATGACCTTCCCTCTCAACAAGGTTGCAAGACCCTTCACACTTTGTCTCACAACCATCTTTCTAATCTAACCTTATTCCAAACTTCCCCCACCTTTCACACACACACACACACACACCACAGACCATGCCTTCATGTATGTGCCAGACTCTGGCTAGGCACTGGAGATTCAAGGAGGAAGAGAACCACCAAGGAGTTCAGTACAGTATGGGAGACACACTGTATCCCTCTCTTGTAGTCTTACATTAGATAGCATTAGATTAAATTGTTCACGTTCTGCTTTTGTTCACACATCTAATAAACTGTGAGCTTCTCAAGGCAGCAATCTTCTTTGGCTCATATCTGAGACATCAATACCTCTGAGACATCAATACTTTACATATAACATGGCACTGAGAAGCTACTTTGTAATGATGTTGGTATGCAGTGAATGAAGGTGGTTGAATGACTTCCATTGGAAGATGGATAAATGACAGCTTCACTGAGAGATGGAGAGATAGGAGGATGAAGGAATGGGAGGCCGGAGGGATGGAGATATGCATAGATGGAGGGGAGGAGGTTGAATGGGCAGCCCACTTTGCTCACCTGAGTCTCATATTGATTCTCAATGTCCTTTCTGTTCTTAGCAATGAGCTGCTCATACTCCTGACGCATGTCATTGAGGGTCTTGGTGAGATCTTTGCCAGGAGCAACGTTTATCTCCACATTGACATCTCCACTGTTCTGCCCAGTCAGCTGACTCATCTCCTGCCAGGGAGGAAGGGGAGATGAGGTCAGGGATAAAGTCCTCTGCACCACCTTTCAGATTTCTGCCTGTGGTCCCCACAGGGTACAAAAAGGGGACACAGTTGTGAAGCCAAAGCCCACCCACTACCATAGGTGATGCCAAGGAGAAGCTGAAAGTGTCCTCAAGAGCAAAGGAGAGGGTGTCTCCCAGGTAATTCTCCAAAGCTCCCCTGCTGTCTCAGCATTTCTGCTCCTCCCTCTCCCCAGTAAGCCATAAGCCCCAGCACCCTACCTCCTTATGATTCTTCTTGAGGGCCATCAGCTCCTCCTGCAGAGTCTCATACTGCATCTCCAGGTCAGACTTCTCCATGGTCAGATTGTCCAGCACCTGCCGCAGGCCATTGATGTCAGCATCCACTCCTTGCCGCAGGTTTTGCTCCATCTCGAACCTGCAGACCAGCCAGGGTAGAAAACAATCAAGACGGAACCAGGGCCTACCAGGACCTCCAGAGCACTGAGGTTCAGGGGGTAAGGGCTGATGACAGGAGAGGAAAGGAGGAGCAGGGCTCACTTTATCCTGAAGTCATCTAGTGTCATGCGAGTGTTGTCGATGTCCACAAGAGTTTTGTTGTTGCCCACTGTCAGGTCCACAATCTGAAAAAAAATGACACAACCATGAAATCACACTGTGGACCACTGCTTGGAGGGCAAGAGGCCAGGCAAAGCCACAGGAGGTGAGGATTCCACTCAGGAAGATTCTCAAGAGGAATGAGGAACTTCCAACAGCTGGGACATGGCACAGACCCCTTCCAGGCTTCAGCGAAGATGTTTGGTGTGGCCTTCATTCATTCATTCAACAAATATTTGAAGATCTACTGCAAAGGGCATTGTAGGATTTAGAGATTACTGACATCCTGTTCCTCAAGGAGCCCACCATTGACTACAAAGTCAAAAGTGTCCTAAAAGAGTTCAAGGAAAGGAGAGGTGGCTTATGGCAATGGGAGATCAAGAAAGACTTCAAGAAGGAGGTGGCTGGCAATTGAATTGGGCGCTGAAGGATGGCTAGGGTGTAACATTAATAAATAAATGGAAGAGGTTTGGAGTAGAAGAAACAGCACATCCAGACACATGCAGGAGTGAAAACAAGAGGAATCACTGAATATACTGAAGAGTCAGACTGTGAGCTCCACTAGAACTCAGTCTAGCACATCACTGTGTCTACCCAGAGCAACCCTGAGGGTAGGCACTCACTGAACTGAATGGCTGAATAAATGGACAGATAGATGGACATGTGGGTGGAGGGAGGGAGGAAGGGAGGGATGGATGGATGGATGGATGGATGAATGGATGGATGGATGGATAGATAGCTTCCTTTCCCAGAGTTCTGGATCCTCTCCATCACTTGAATAACCAAATGTACAATCGGGTCCAAAATACCTTAAAAGATCAAGATACACTCCTAAAGAAGCCTAGGAGAAGTACAAAGGAAGAGAGAGTATTGACTTAGACCAGACCTAAAGGAGGTTCCACATCCAGTCCCAGCTCAGCTCATGTTAACCCAGGCCTCCTCTCTGCTCTGCCCAAACTCTGAAAGTTGAAGAAATGGAAATGAACCCTCAGAGCACAGGCCAAAGTCCTATCCTGGGATCCCCAGAAACCAAACACAAGTTTGTTTCTGATGAAAGTGTACATTTCCAAAACGTGGATTCCCTGGCTATTATCTGAGCTTAGAGTTTAGCATTTTACCTTTTTTGGAAGATAAAGAATGTAAGAGAAAAAGACCAAGACAGAGACAGTTTCCTGCACCTACCTGGTCCTTGAGATCATCAATAGTGTTGTAGTAAGAGGAGTAGTTCTTCTGGGTTGCAGCAGGGCCCTTCTTGTCATACCAATCCTGGATCTTATTCTCCAGGTCATTGTTGGCCTCCTCTAGAGCCTGTACCTTATCCAAGTAAGAGGCCAGCCGAGTATTGAGTTCCTGCATGGCGCTCTTCTCATTAGTAGTCAGAATACCACCATCACCGCCTCCAGCACCACCTCCAAAGCCCCCAAATCCACCCCCATAGCCACCACCAAACCCACCCCCATAGCTACCACCAAAGCCACCTCCAGAACCACCACCAAAGCCACCTCCAGAACCACCACCAAAGCCACCTCCAAAACCCCCAGAACTACCATAGCCTCCTCCAGAAGCACCACCAAACCCTCTGGAACCACCCCCAAAGCCACCACCTAAACTACTGGCACTAAAACCACCCCCAGATCCTCCGCCGTAGCTGTAGCCAAAACTGCCGCCACCTCCCCTCCCACAGACACGAGAGCTTCCCCCTCCATAGCCACTGGAAGAGCTGAATCGGCCCCCTCCTCCACCGCCCCCTGAGGAGCTGAAGCGGCTGTAGGAAGACCTTATGCTGCCCCCGCTGCCCACGCCGCCCCCGCCACC